GAAGTGGACCCTCACCCGACTCATGGAGCCCAGCTGCTGCCGGCCCCCTCCTTTGACATAAGAGGAAACTGAGGCCGGAGCTAGGGCTGGCCCCAGGGCTTCCCATCTGCCCTAGGCACCTTGTCGGGGAGGGTCTCTCACTGGAAGGCTGGTGGTCCAGCCAGGACCACACCTCCCCCAGAGCCTGAGCACTTGGGGCTCACCCAGGACCCTGCCAGCTTATCCCGGGACCCCCACAGCCCTGGAGGAAGGGTTTGTCTCTCTCCTCAGGTAGGTGGGAGGCAGATGGTCAAAAGCCAGGTGGAGGCAGAGTGGAAAATGGGGGGAGGGGTCCCGAGAGTAGTTTCCCCCAAGCCTCTTTCTGGGCAGGGGGCACTCCCTTCTACCCCAGCCCTAATCCCTACACTAGCACCGCGAGGCAGAAACCCAAAACATTCAGGGGCCTGCTGCACCCCCAGTTTTGAGGTCCCTAGCCTCAGAGGCAGGAGGGTGGTCCCCAAAGGGCTACTCCCCTAACCCTGGGGGCCTCCAAGCCTGGAGATGGAGGGGTCCTCCACCCTCCCGCATCTTGGAGCCCCGAGTGCCAGGGACAGTCCTGGCCCCATCCAAGCAGGCCAAGGGCACAGATGGCCCAGCACCTGCACAGCCACCCCTGATCTGGAGAGGGGAGCAGAGCCTGAGCAGGCGCCACACCCCACACCACCTGCTCCAAAGCAAGCAGCACACAGGTCCCCGGGGCCCTTCCCCACCCCACCCTCCCTCCAGGGCTCCCGTCCTGTGCAGTGGCCCTGCGGGAGCGGGTGTTGAGGTGCACGACACGCGTTTACACACACGTGCACACACGCACATATGCACGCACGTGTGCACACGCGCTCCCAGGGCGCAGGGCCTGAGGAAAGCAGGCACAATATGTAACCAAATCACTGCCGCACCCACGAGGAGGCCAGAGGAGGAGGGAATGGGCTGGCAGGGGCGGGGAGGGGGCTGCGGGAGGAGGGGCGGCCTGAACTGGGCAGGGAGGGGTGAGTCCAGCCCGTAGGCGACTGTGGGGAGGAGGGTGTTCCAGGCGGTGGGCCTCAGGGGACGAGGCGTCGGAGGAGGCGAGTGGACGGAGAAAATTTGGGGAGCAATGAGTCGAAGGGGGGGCAGGAGGTGGCCGGAGTGGGGACACTGACCCAGGGGGGCGAGGAGGGTGAACGACATGGAGGTGTCCAGTGGCCTCAGCTGAGACACCAGCTAGGGAGTCCCCAGCTCATGGTGGCATTTAAAGCTGTGGGACGGGTGGGCGCCCCGGGCCCCCCAACATTCCCGGGCGGCTGCTGGTGCTCACCATGCTCACTGCAGCCTGGGAGGGCCTGCACCTCGCCCTGCACCCACGGCCCGGGCACTGGCCGCGTCTGGGTCCGACCCAGTGCAGGACACAGCCAGCGGACCCGTAAGAGACACGCTTCGGACGTGCCGCGAGACAAAACCCCTGAAAGCACGAAGGAGCTGCCTCCAGGAAGGCCGAGTCAGCGCCAGGGAAGAGCAGCGGTGCAAAGGCCCTGAGGCCAGAGTGGGCCAGGGAGTTCCGGGAACAGCGCAGCGAAGAAGGAGCGATTCCTTTCTGATCCCCGGCTCGAACCCCCTTGACCCACGCAGTCTCTGGCAGTCCTCGTCCCCTCTCTCGGCTCCGCGAGCCCAGCACCGCGGCCCTCCGCCCGGCCGGAGTCCTCCCGCCTGCGCACCTGCCCTGTCACTCAGCCCTCGGCCCCGCCCCACCAGAGGCCCCGCCCCGCCTGCACGTGCTGTCGCACGGCCTCGCCAGAGGCCTCCGAAGTGTGTCACTCAGCCCTCGGCCCCGCCCCGCCCCGACCCCGGCCCCGTCAGAGGCCTCCCACGGGCTGTCACTCAGCTCCGGCCCCGCCCCCCGCGCACATGCTGCCCGGCCCCGCCCGCGCACCCGCGCTGTCACTCAGCCGCTCGCCGGTTTGCTCCCGGCTGGAGGCTGGAGCCGCTGCCCGCGACCCGCACCGCCGCCGGCCGCATGGGCGCCGCGCTGCTCCTCGTCCTCGGGCTGCTGGCCCAGGTAAGGCATCGGCGCCCGCGGGGTCCCCGCCTCCCGCCCGCGTCTCCCCAGGACCGTCCCGAGCGCCCGGGGGCCTGTGGGCTGAGGGTCCCGGGTGGGAGCTGGGCTGGGGCCCCAGGCACTGTGGGGCAGGGTGCCCGCGCCCAGGCAGGTGGGCTCCGCAGGGAGTGTAACCCGCCTCCGCCTGGACAGAGTTTGGGGGACTCGCCCCAGGACTGGGGAGCCCAGCGGAGGACAGCAGGAGCCAACCAACAGGCCGCCCTCCCTTGGGGGGACCGGGCAGAGCCTCCCCCAACCGCGCCGGGCCTGGGTGTTGCAGTCCTGTGGTGGGGGCAGGGAGAGGGGGTGGCAGGGAACCCCCACGCTGGGGGAACTGGGGGTCCTTAGGGACTCCTTGACTGTCCCGAGCTCACTCTGATCCTTGTGGTCTTGGGTGGTGTCCGGGCCCCCGCCCCCGCCACGCTCCCGGCCAGCAGGGCAGCTTCGGGCTCTGCCATCCGGGAAGGCCCCACACTCTGAAGTTCCTCTGTGGGAGCGCCCGTGGGAGCCAGGGCCCCCCACGCACCCCGCACTGGCACGTCCCAGCCTTTGTGTCCACCTGCAGACGGCAGCAGCTGCCCCCCCAAATCTCTGGACCCCTGGTACCCTGGTCTTCACCATGTGGGAACAGACAGGGCGGGAGGAGGCACAGGCCTCTGACCCCCCCGCGCCCCACTGCGGGCACTCCCTGGACAGGGCCACGTCCCCTCAGGCCCTGGGGACCTGAGGGTGGAGGATACGGCCCCCATGGCTCCTGCCACAGGGTCTGGGCCTAGCCAAGCACAGGGCCTGGCCGTGGCTGGGACGTCCTCACGTGTAACAGGACGGCCCCTGGCCTCCTGCTTTAACAGATAATGAGCTTAAATGGCCACCACTGGGCATCGTGGCTCTAGGGTGGTCAGGCAGAGCTGGACAGTGGCGAGGGGGTGAGTCCCTTCCCAGCTTCCACCAAAGCGGGTTCATGAGTCCCCCTAATTCCCACGGGCCTCCTGGCTCAGCCAGCCAGCTCGAGTTTCAGCTCCTGGTGCCAACCAGGTGCCTGGCCAGCCAGACCCCCCAGCAGCGGTCCCCCAGGGCACCCTCGGCTCCAGCCACTTCCACCCCTGCCTTTGGGCGTCCACAGCCCCCGCTTGGCAGCAGTGGCCCTGCCGCCACAGCTGCCCACGGCCTGCACCCCTGCAGCCGTGTGCGGTGGGCACACTCACCACCCCCTCTGCAGGGCCTGGACCCCTCACTCCTGGGACCCACAGGCCCCGGGGACAGCATTTCTTCCTAGCCCTGCCCTGGGCGCGTCGGGAGCTGGCGCCGTGGAAACATTCCTGGCGACCCTGCTCTTCTGGGTTTGGGGGTGTCTACCTTTCATCAGGCCCCGGGTGGACTCTACTGTGGGGGGGGCTAGATCCCTCTCGGGTTTCCTTTCCTCCTGGAGGGCGCCCCTCCCCCCACTTCCCTCCCCAGGGCTATCATCAAATACTCCTCCATCCCCGCCCCCCGACAGCTGGAGGCTGGGGGGTCGGTGGGGGCTGCCATGGCTCAAATTAGCTCGGACCACCGAAATATGTCGGTCAGGACCTTGCCACCCCTCCCCGACCCACCCGGGCTGCCAGACTTTTGTCCTCTGTCCTGGCACACGGTTCTGTGGCCACCTGGGCACTCCTTCCTGACCTCCGTCAGCCCCCAGGCGGTGGCCTGGCCCAGCCGGGCTGTCTCAGGAGGCCCTGGGCAGAAGCTCTGCACCCGTCCACGGCTTGCATGGCGGCCTTGGATGAGGCTCTGGCCTCTCCTGCCCGTTCACCTCTAACGCCCACTGGGTCCCAGAACATGGGGGACGGGTGAGGACCGTGTCTTCCCAGTGGGCCCCTGACAGCCCCACCACCCTTGGCTGCTGGTCCAACCCCTGGCACCCACCTGAGGGGCCCCCCGTGGGCTGGGAAAGGCCCCCACACCTGCGTCTGGGCTTCGGGGAGCCACCTGGTCTCTGGGAAAAAGACAGGGCCCCGCAGCATCCCCGGCCTTGTAGGCAAGGACATCCCTGTAGGGTGCGCTGGCTCCTCCAGGGCCGGGCCAGCGGGGTCTGTGCCGTCAGCGACGGCCGGGCGGTGATGGGAGGGCACAGCTGCCCCATCCCTCCCCTCCCCCACCCCTGCTCACCAGCTCCCCCCAGCCCACAGCAGCTGGAGAGGGCGGGGCCCGCAGGGGGGACGCTGGGGCCACGCTGGGCCTGGCCGACAGCTGGGTCCATTCCTGGCGTGCCGTCCGGAGCGGTGGCCTCGGATTCCAGCCTAGGGAGGGGTCCAGGCCGGGGACTTCTTGCCCCCTCCCAAGCAAGCCCCACCCACCCTCCCACCAGGCACGTTCCTGGACTCTGGAAGCGGCTTTCCTTGGAAAGTGGGTGGAGCGCAGTGTGAGGCAGCCCCAGAGCCCCTTCCCCAAGCCCGACCCTTGAGCCGGGCGGGGGGCTGCGGGTGGGGGGCAGGCGGCAAGCTCTGCCACTCAGCCTTCACCAAGGGCTGTTGGAGCCCAGCAGAGCCACCAGCTCTGTCCACACCGCAGAGAGGGAGCAGGACCTTGGTGCCAACGCGGGAGACCTGGTCTCAGTGTCAATCCCGCCACCCCAGAGACCAGCACCGCTACCTGGGCTCAGGCCCAGCCTATGGTGGCAAAGCACCTGTCGCCGTGCAGGGTGCGGAGTGGGAAGTTCAGTCCCAGAGCCTGGCTTCCAGCTGGTTCTCTGAGTCCGTGGTTAAGGGCGGGGGTCAAGGATGAACTTGGAGGTATCGTTGGGCCTCCCCTTTGGGGAAGGGGTTCCAGGGTCAGGCCTAGCTTGGGGGGCACAGGGAGGAGGGGTGCCAGAGCCCACACCCACGAGGTCCACCCTCCCCGTCTTGTGCTGTACCCCCACGTGTGGGGTCCGTGTGAGCTGGCAGTGGCGGTGGGGCCTTGTCCCAGGCACCGGATGTCCTGGCCTCCCCAGGGCGGCACCCAGGCCCTCCCTCCAGCCGCCACGTCTTCTGGGAAGGGGAGGGCTGGGAGGACAGAGAACCAGCTGGGCAAACGCCCTCGAGAGCCGGGTCGGCTGTGGCTGGCCTGCCCACATCCACCGCGCCTCTGATCTGTGCGACGGGGCCCTGCCAAGGCTCTGCGGCCTCCGCTGACCTCGTGAACTTGGGCTGTGGACAGGCCGGGGACCCAGGATTCCCAGGGTCTGCCGTGACAGCACCGGCCCAGAGCCAACCCAGGGGGCACCGAGCAAGACTCCTGGCAGGGGGCAGGGGGCAGGGGAGAGGGGCCAGCCCAGGTTTGGCAGCAGCTGGCCAGGGGAGAGAGCGGAAGCTTCTGCCCCAGCTGGGGTGGCCCGTTCTCCCTCCGCTACATGGGGTTCCCGGAGCCTGAGGTCCCCTGCCCTCCACCCAGGCCTGGCCCGGGGCCGGGGCAGGCTCTGCAAGTCTCGGGGTTCCCTTCTGAGCGCGGTTCAGGGCCTGGCTTAGGGCGCAGACCCTGGCTCTGCCTGCGTGGCTCTGAGCAGACGCCCGGCCTGGCTGAACCTCTCACTGGAGCTGTGCGAGGAGGTTCCCAGGGGCTGCGGGGACCCCGGGGGCAGAGGCAGAGGCAGAGGGAGGCATGCCCAGGCCCGGCGCAGAGCGGCGCCAGCCGGGTGTTGGACGCAGACCCTGTGATGCAGGCTGCGTGCCGGGCAGGCAGGTTTCCACTTGGCAGGAACTCGCCCTGCCCTGGAAGTGGCTTCTGCTTCACTGGCACAGAGGCCAGCGCGACCATCTGTCGCTGGTGGGGCCACCGGCCTGGGGCGCTGGGAGCCTGGGGAGCCCTGCCCTGTTTGTCTCCACTTCCTGTCTACAAAGGGTCTGCCGCTCTGCATGCCCAAGGCCCATGCAGGTGTGAGGCGACCAGCGCAGGACGCCACAGAGGAGGTGGCCAGGCCCTGCGGCCGGGTGCCAAGAGCCACCAGGGCATGCTGGCTCTAGTTTTAAGTTACCGCCACTTGTCATTCTACCACCGTGTGTGAGGACCTGCTGCGTGTGGGCCTGGGGACAGGACACAGCAGGAACAGGACCAAGCCCCGAAGCCCCATCTCAGGGCAGGTGGAGCGGGCGCCAACTGGGTCCGTGGGCTCCTGAGCCTCGGACGTCCACACGGCATGCGGAGCCGGCGGTGGAGCGCAGGGGCCGGGAGGACTGAGCCTGACTGGCAGCTGCGCCGGCATCTCCCTCCGGCCCCCGCCCCAGCCCAAAGTACCCCTGCTCCTGAGGCCACCAGCCTCAGGCCACCGCGGTCTCCTCCTGGGGCCAGTGTGTGTTTGGGAGTTGATACCAGTTCTGCTGTTGACTTGCTGGGTGGGTCCCTTCTCTGGGCCTCAGTTTCCCCATCTGAAGGGCGGGGGTGGGGCTATCTGGTTGCAATGGGAGCTGACGGGACCTCGGGCAGGCCTCCCCCTTGGCCCTCCTTTCTGGCCCAAGCTCCCCACCCCCAAGTGGGGGTGCGCAGCTGTGTCTTCCCTCCGCAGCCCACACTCTGCCCAGGCCCCGCCCAGGCACTGGGCTACGGCGGGGGGATGGGGGCGCATTGCACACGCCTGTGGGGTCCCAAGTCCAGGAAGCGGCAGTGCTGCTGTGAAGACTGCACCGATCCCGGGTTCTGGGGGAGCAGCACAGGCTGGGGTGGGGTCTGGGGCCCTCTCAGCTGTGCAGCCGCCGCAAGCCTCCGAGGCGGCCCTGCACCCCATCGCAGGAACCCAGGGCACTGCTGGGCACCCCCCACCCGCCTGCCCTGCACCCTCACCCCGAGGGGCCCCAACAAACCAGTGGCCACAAACTCGGTCTGCTTGCAGCGCACGGGCCAGTCGGCTGCAAACTGGGGGCTCAGACAGATCGGAGACCTGGCGGCTGGCTCCCATCCCCAGAAAACCGCGTGGAGAGGCTGCGTGGGGCTGGCCCTGGTGGGGGGGCACCGCCTCCAGCAGGCACAGTCCCTGCCACTCCGTGGACCCCTGGCCCAGCTCGCGTGGGCACCACCCCCCCGGCTCCCAGAGGCATTTGGAAGCAGGACCCCACGCCCTTCCCCAGGCCAGGGGAAGTGTCCGCGCTCAGCCGGCAGGCCGAGGGCAGCAGGAACCCTCAGGGGACCCTTCCCCTCTCTGGGCCCTTCCGGCAAGAGCAGGCATTGATCTGGCAACTCGACCAAACCTCAAGAATTCAGGCTGGGAGGAGCCAGGCACGGCCAGGGCCACCCCAGCCTCTGACAGAGCCAGCCGTGGGGGGAGCCGCCGGCGCCCACTTTCTGCCCACCGTGCTGACCCCAGCACGCCCTTCACCGCGGGCTCCGGGGCTGGGTCCAGCAGCTGGGAGGACTCATTACGTGGAACTGCCGCCGCCTCTGCCTCTCCCAGCCCCACGTTCCTGGGGAGCGGGAGCTGCCCTCTGTCCACGGGGCCCTCCCTGCCCCATCTGCCTCCTGGCCAAGGCCTGGCACCTCGGGGAAGTGAGAGGCACAGCGCCCTGAGGTGCCCCCGCAAGCCCACACTCACCTGGTGACACCCCTGCGATGGGTCCCTGGACCCGGGGCTCTGGGTGAGAACAGGGGGTGCTTTGGGGACAGACCCTTGGGGCTGTGGCTTTGGGCTCCCTGGGGCCTCCAGCTCAGGGCTCTGACAGGGGTGGGCCCCCGCGCCCTGGACGCAGCGTGGTGGTGTGGAAGCGCGACTCCGGACTCCACGGGGCGCTAACCCGCGGCCCAGGGAAGGGCTCCACCCTCGGGAGGTCCTGGGGGGTCCACGGCTCCCAGCACCTGCCTCCACTTGGGGCTCTCGGAGATCATGCGTGTGACCAAATTTCTCTTTGTTGCAGAGCCTGGGCCTGTCCGTGGGCAGCCCCAGGCCGAGGAGGCCCAGCATCCTGTACCCCTGGCATCGGGCGCCAACGCTGGGCCGCGTGCGGAGGGCTTGGGTCATCCCCCCGATCAGCGTGTCCGAGAACCACAAGCGCCTCCCCTACCCCCTGGTGCAGGTGAGGGGCAGGGCCGGGTCACCCGGTGGGTCCCCATTCCCAGCAGGTTCCCGGGAGCTGCAGGGCCAGAGCCCGGGTTTCTCATCTGGGCCCGAAGTGCAGCCCCCAGGACCACACGCACGCCAAGCGCCCTGCAGGCTGCAAGCCTGCGGCAGTGGCTTCACTGTGGTTTTATTCACCGGACACGGAGCAGACGTTAGCTGGACCTGAGCGTACCAGCGTCAGCTTCCTGCACGCTTGAAATGTGTCCCCGGGGACCAGGGTCCCAGGACACCCAGGAGCTGTGCCTGCGATCGGGGCTTTAGGATGGGGACACCCTCGGGGCTCCGGGCTGGGGAAGGGCCTGAGGGGCTGCAGAGGAGCAGGGACGCCCCTCCCCTGGGAGCGCCTCCCCCAGCCCCGTCTCCTGCCCCACAGATCAAGTCCGACAAGCAGCCGCTGGGCAGCGTCATCTACAGCATCCAGGGGCCGGGCGTGGACGAGGAGCCCCGGGGCGTGTTCTCCATCGACAGGCTAACTGGGAAGGTGTTCCTCAACACCGTGCTGGACCGAGAGCGGACGGACCGCTTCAGGGTGGGGGCCTGCCCGGTCGGCCTTTCCCCTCGGGGGTCCCCGGTGTGGTGTCCTTCAGACCAACCCGCTGCTCCCGCAAGATCCGGGCACCCCAGTGTGGGGCGGGGCCAGGGATTCGGGCCCCAGGACCTGCAGCCCGAGGAAGCAGGTGTTCGGGAGCACACGCCCATTTAACAGCCGGGCAGATGGAGGCCGGTGGAGGAGGGGCTTGGTTCTGCCTGGGGAGGGGCAGGTGGTCTGCAGCAGGCTGGAGGGGCTTAACCACACCCAGCTCTCCATGCCCCCGGTCCTGTTTGGTGGGGGTGGGGCATCACACAGGGTCCCAAGGCAGGGCCCGCCCTCGCTCTGTTCGCGCAGCTCCGAGCCTTCGCCTTGGACCTGGGAGGCTCCGCCCTGGAGGACCCCACAGACCTGGAGATCGTGGTCGTGGACCAGAACGACAACCGGCCGGCCTTCCTGCAGGAGGCGTTCTCGGGCCACGTGCTGGAGGGTGCGGCCCCAGGTGAGGCAGGAGCCAGCGCCCGCCGGGCTGCGGTGAGGGGCTCGGCGTGGGTCGGAAGTCCCAGGTTTTCCTTACACGGGAATTCCAGAGCCCTTCAGAGAGTCTGAAAATAAGAGAAAGAGTCTCCGAGACAGAATTTCCACAGATCGACTCAAGGTCCTCCTATTTCAGTGTAATTTCAAATCCAAAAATCGGAGCCTCAGGGCGGGGCTTTTTCGGGGGTCCTGCCCCTCCCCCAAAAGCAAACGACCTCTCCCTTCTGCTCTGGGGCGTCTAGAGACAGGCAGACCCAGCCTCACCCTGTCCTCACGCAGGGCCCCCACACCTGGGTCCGGGCCCAGGGCTCTGTGGCTGCAGTGGGGGCCGCGGGACGGCCTGGCAGAGGGCGCCCAGGACTGTGACCTGTGAACTGTGAACTGTGAACTCCGGCCCCTGCTCGGGGTTTGAGGATTGGATGGAACCTCCGCAGTCTGGGTATGTCAGATGCGATCTGGGGTCCGGCCTTGGGCACAGGTTCCACGGCAGTGAGGCCATGTCCTGGTGCATGTCCGTCCCGTGTGGCACCTGCCGGGCTCGCCCCGTGAGGTCACAGTTTTCGCTTTGTAATCATAAATGTCTTGCGGCGGGTCCTTTGTGCAAATGTCCCTTTTCAGCGTCCATTAGTGGTTCGTGGTTACGATCAGTGGTTGTTATTAATATGGTTACAAAAGGTGACGTTTGAGCTCCACCTTCCTCCTGCGCTCGCTACACGGTGGGACTTCCCTGTCCCCACACGGGTCTGTGTGCGTTCCACACGTGCACATCTGTGTGGGCTGCCAGCCAAGTCCTCAGTGTCACTTCCTGATGCTCGTGTTGCACCAGGCTGGCCGGTGGAGCCACCTGGCCGGCTGCAGCCTGTGGCCCTTTCAGCAGACACAGCTGGGGAACGAGCACATACAGACACGTGTGTAGGTCTGTGTGCACGTATGTGCATGAGTGCATGAACACGGCAGTGTGCATATTCACACGTATACATGTGTGCGTGTGCACTCCTGTGTTTACATGTATGCGTAGGTATGTTCACACGTTTGTCTGTCTTCCTCACACCTCGTCCATTCTCAGGGGCACCCCCACGTCCAAGCCCACTCCATGGGGTCTCTCTATCCCCCGCCCACATCCGTGGCTCTTCTCTGACCAGAGAAACCTGGCGTCTGGCCTCTGCCAAAGAGAAGCCGGCTAACAGGCTAACAGCTTTCACCTGGGGTCCCACATCGGCTTGGTGGATTTATCCGGTGGCAGCTTGAGTCTTTGCACCAGCCCTTAACCCTTCCAGTGCTGGGCCAGCGCTGACGCTCACTCCTGTTTATCTTGCTCAGTCCCTGATGGGCCGAGGCCCCGAGACAGACACACTGGGAAGGACCTGCTGGCCCAGAGCTGCTCCGCAGGGAGCCCCTGCAGCCCGTCCTCCGGTTTAATGTTCTTACGCCAGCGCCGGGGGTGGCTCAGGCCCAAATCTCATCAGAGGGAAAGTGGGCGACAGGCAGGCAGCCCCCCCGTCACATGTGGCCTCTGCATGCCGTGTGTCTTCTGTCGCCCCGGGGATTGCGGCTGCCCAGCACTCCTGGGCAGGCGCCAGGGTGGCTTCTGGCGGAACACCGTACCCGATGGCCCGGTCTCAGGACGGGGACAAGACCTGGTGGCCCCAGCTGTGCCGGGCGAGTCGGACCCGAGGGCCTGTGCACACGGAGCATCCCCACCACAGTGGCCCACACGCCTCCCTGCCCTTCCCAGGCACCTTCGTGACCAAGGCCGAGGCCACGGATGCGGACGACCCCGAGACAGACAACGCGGCCCTGCGGTACTCCATCCTGCAGCAGGGCGACCCCGAGCTCTTCAGCATCGATGAGCTCACCGGGGAGATCCGCACGGTGCAAGTGGGGCTGGACCGGGAGGTGAGCTGGCGCGCGGGACGCCGGGCCGGGCACTGGCTGATGCTGGGTGTGCGGGGGCCGGGCAGTGAAGACTCACGGGGCGAAGCCACTGACCCGCAGAGACAGTAAGTGCGCCCCCGCGGGGCAGGGTGAGGCTGGGTCGCAACAGGGTGCCAGAGGCACTGGCCACACTTGCCCTGACCAGCCCTCAGTGTGGTTTCCATCCCGCCTCGCAGAGAACCTCCCAGCCCCATTGCCCACAAAGCGGGGGCACCCCGGCTCGGGGGAAGGGCCTTTCCAAGTGGCCCCCCGCCCTGGCCTCTTAGCAACTGCCCTGCTGCTCCCTCGCGCCCAGGAGTCACTAACTTCCGTCCGCCCTCTGCACGCCATTCCTGTGTCAGGCCCCGCTGCCCCACCGCCAGGCTTCGTGGCCCCTGAAGACCCACCCTGCGTCAGCACCTCTGGGAAGCCCTCTTTGGTTTCCCCACAGCCACCTGTGTGGGGCTCTGTAGGCCACGCACTGTGTTACGTGGTATTTGTCCTTTGCGTCTCCACCCCTGCCTATAACCATGGCCCCCAGGGCAGGGGTCCCCTTTGTGTCCAGTATGCAGTAGGTGCTCTGTAAATGCTGATGCGACTCCATCACTGACCTCTGGTCTACTCATAGGCTGGGGCAGAGTCCGTGGCTGACAACAATGTCGCCGGGCCGCATGTGCTGGAAAGCAGGACAGGTTCTCAGAGCTGCGTGTGGCCTCCTGACACCCACTGGCACCCGTGGGGGCCGAGCCCGCCAAACGGCCGGGCTCCCAGCCCTGCCCCCCCCCGCGCACCTCATCCTCTGACCCCATGTCCTGGTGTCCACAGGTGGTTGCCGTGTACAACCTGACCCTGCAGGTGGCCGACATGTCCGGAGACGGCCTCACTGCCACCGCCTCAGCCGTCATCTCCGTGGACGACGTCAATGACAATGCCCCGGAGTTTTCCAGGGACGAGGTGCCACCACTGCCCGCCGCCCCAGCCCTGCTTAGGACCACCCCCCTTGGGGTCCTGGCGAGGGTGGGGGCTTCATGTGGGGCCGGGGTCTGCTTTGGAAGGACCTTTGCAGGGGTAGCTACGAGGCCAAGGTAGCGGTCTCCAGAGCCGGCCACGCGTGAGCATGTAATGAAGTCAGGAGCTGGGAGAGGCCCCAGGGTCCCCCAGAAGGGGAAGATGACACACACCATGGTGTCCGGCGTGGAACTGAGCCCACAGCGGGGGAGCGGGGTCCCTGGGGGCAGCAACACACGAAACAGACCAATCTGGAGGACGCCCGGTGGGGGACAGCCGCGCTGGGTGGGAGGGAGGGGCCGCCGTGGTCAGGGCCGGGCCGCGTGCCTTGGGCCCCAGCACGCTCCCCGACCCTGCCGCTGACGGGGGCCGGGCTCCCCAGTTCTTCATGGAGGCCCCAGAGGCTGTCAGCGGAGTGGACGTGGGGCGGCTGGAGGTGGAGGACAAGGACCTGCCGGGCTCCCCCAACTGGGTGGCCAGGTTCAGCATCCTGGGAGGCGACCCCGACGGGCAGTTTGCTATCCGCACAGACCCCAAGACCAACGAGGGCGTGCTGTCTGTGGTGAAGGTGAGTGGCTCCCTGGCGCACACCACGCCCCTGCCCGGGTCTGGCGCAACCCACGCCGGCCGTGTCCCGTGCTCCCTGGCTCCTTCCCCCAGGGCAGCCTCCCCTGACCTCGGGGACGGTGAGAGGGCACAGAGGCGGACGTGGAGCTCCAGCCCGAGACTGGGCACGCTGGGATTGCAGGTCCCGGGCCACACTGGCCACAGGGCAAGAGGGCCAGCGGTGGGAGGGACACCCTACACAGCGGCTGAGATTTACAGCGCTCGATCTCTTTATATATGCGATCCACACATAAAAATACGGCTGCACACCCGTGTCAGAGCCAGTGGGGATACACGTGTGTATATACATGTAGATACTGATATATTGAGATTTATTGCAAGAACTTGGCTCGTGCAACTATGGGGTCTGTCTGGGCAGGTCTGAAATCCGCAGGGCGGCTGGAAACCCAGGCAGGACCCTGCTATAGTCTGGAGGTGGAATTTCTTCTTCCTCAGAGAACCACAGTTTTGCTCTTAAAGTCTTCACCTGAGTGCATGAGTCCCACCCACGTTACCCAGCATAATCACCCTCATCTAAAATCTGCTGGCTGCAGAGGCTGGCCACACCTCCCCCGCGCCTCCTCAGCAGCCCCCGGGTGGGCTCTGCCTGACGCACGGGGCTGTCCCCAACCACGGACACTTACCGCTGCCCACCACCCCTGCAAATTCATTTTGAGTGATGGGTACTTACTGTGCTATCTTACATTATTCTTTGTGCCTTTTTGTCCGGCATAATTTTTATTTTTTTAAGGTTAAAAAGGGGAACAAGGGAAGGAGGGCTCTCAAGACAGACCCAAGGCGTGGCTCCCCCACGGGACCTGTCTCTGGGCACCCAGACCTGAGCCTCAGCAGGTGACCGGCCCTGCCCCTCCCACAGCCCCTGGACTACGAGAGCCGTGAGCTCTACCAGCTCTCGGTGTCGGTGCAGAACGAGGCTCCGCTGCAGGCGGCTGCCCCCAGGGCCGAGCGGGGCCAGGCCAGGGTCACCGTGCACGTGCGGGACGTCAACGAGGCCCCCGTGTTCCAGGAGAACCCGCTTCGGACCAGCCTGGCTGAGGGGGCACCCCCAGGAACCCCCGTGGCCACCTTCTCTGCCCAGGACCCCGACATGCTGCAGCTGCAGAGGCTCAGGTGGGCTCCCAGGGGCCCTGGCGTGGGGCCGAGGGCGGTTGGCTGCCCACTCCTGCCGCGGTTACCCCCGCCGGGCTCCTGGGCCCGGAGGGTGGAGGGGCCGTCTGTCTCTGGGTTTCTGAGGGCCCGGGGGTCTCGAGTCCCACACATGGCTGTGCGTGCGTGTTGGGGTGGCCCTGCCCCATGGGCGGAGCTGGGCAGCCGGTGCACGCCGACACGCCACATCTGTTCCCGCCAGCCTGAGAGTCCAGCCGTGTCTGGCAGCCCTGGCCCCCGGGACTGGCTGTCGTCGTCTTAATCCCGCCCTCGTCTGGCCCTGTGTCTGTCTCCGCGTCTCCCCCACATGGGCCCAGTGCGGGCTGGGGTTCAGTCTGGGCTGTCACCCAGTTGCCACAGGGCCCTGACAGCTCACCTACCCTCGCTGAGCCTCAGTTTCCTCCTCTGTCAGTTGGGACAGGGGATGTCTTGCCTCAAAGACTCATAGAAGGTGCCAGGTGACTGCAGCAGAGCCACGTGGGCTGTGTGTGCACGGGTGTGCGTGTGCGCACGTGACATGTATATTGTGTGTGCACATGTGCGCATGAGCTGTGTGTGCATGTATGTGTGAGGTGTATGTGTAGTGTATGCGTGTGCATGCATGTGTGAGGTGTATTGTAGCGTGTGCATGTGTGTGCATGCGTGTGCGTGAGGTGTATGTGTACTGTGTGGGTGTGTGTGCATGAGGTGTATGTGTAGTGTGTGCGC